AATGTACTGCAAGTTTGACAAGAATTATTCCTTCAAAGTAGCTGTCTGCAACTGAAGATGACAAAATTTTTCCATTCATGCAGATTGCAGCATGTTTAACATCAAATGAATTTAACTTTCTGACACCAGTACTATAGGATTTAATGATACCAATAAAACCATCAGGGTAATGTTCCAGTGCAATATATTAATTGTCATCTGCAAGTAGTGCACTTCTGCTGCATAGATCAGTTGCTGTGCAAATGATGGTGCTTTTTAAGCAACTTTGTCATTAAGTTCACTATTATTTCATGGCACTATTATATTTTGGGAGTCTTGGCAGCAGGGAGAATGGTACTGATGTGGTTTGTTGTGGTGGAAGGGGAAGGGGTAGGATTGGATAGATGTTTTTGCCAGAATTGAGGAAGACCAATACAGAGTTGGATGTTATTGGAGGGTGGAGGAGAAAGGTGGAAGGGTGAAAACTGAATGCAGAAAATATCTTTGATAATGAGTATGGAAAGGTTGGAGAAGTTGGACAGAAGTTATTGGACAGCAGTGCAGGCAGCAGCAATACAGATTCAGAGTAACCTGAAGCTTTCCTTGTCCCTGTGGCCTTTGGCAGCTCCAAACAAGGAAGAAGGCAGAGGTGGGCTGAGCCAGGCCAAAGTATTGGCCAAGTATTGGATTTAACATTGATGGACCCAGGTGAGAGAAGGGGGGATTAGGGTAAGGTTTGGGTTTGGACAAGAATCATGCATAAGTGTTGCATGGGATTGTAATAGTGGTTGGTCCCAAAGTCTTGCATGAGAAGCTTGCACCTAGCGGAGATTATGATGGTGAAGACTCTCTGAAAAGTGTGGAGCATCTGTGAAGCACCCATCTCCCTTGCCGCTGGGGTGAGAGTACAGTAAGGAAGGATTTCTGTAATCTTCACTGTGGGACCATAGTGGAAGTGAATCTTCTGGAGTGTGGTACGTTAGTTGTGGATATGTTGATTGAAGATATGTATTCAGAGGGTAACTAGAGCACCATGCAGACAGCTGCCCCTTGATGATTGGTGTGTTATGTGTGAGGGAGGTTAGTCAGAGAGCAGTTGCAGAGTGCTGCCCCCCCCCGAGTGTTGGTGGTATGGTTGGTTGTGTTGGGGTTTGATGGAGCCAAGGGGAGGAGGTTGAGTAAATTGATGGATGATACTAGTTGTGAATGTCTCTACACGAGTCTGGATTCTGTGATTGCTCCAGTATTGGATGCTGCAGTGCTTATTCTTCTTCCCCATGCTGTCTTCTGTTTTTATGAAGTACACTGATGAAAGTCAGCCAGGCATGGCTAGGCCAGGGATGTTGTAGAAGGTTTGACTTGGTTCCTCAAGACTGTCAGAAAGTGGATGAAATGAAGCAAACTCAGATTGAATCTCAGCTAGGAGGTGCTATTTGTCTGGAAAATCAAGGCTCTACACTTAAATCCAGTTACAGGTAGTCCTCGTTTAACAACCACAGTTGGGACTGGCAATTCAGTCATTAAGCGAAGTGGTTACTAAGTGAAACTCTGATTGTGCCTATGATCTAACTTCAGCTTTCCTTTGCTTTGCAGATCTACAAAGGTCATAGATGCAGGGATTGGTCATAAAATTACTTTTTCATCACAGTTGTAACTAAAATGGTCGTTAAACGAGGCAGTCGCTAAATGAGGACTACCTCTATTGCTCTGGATGAAATGGCACTTCCAGTAAAAGAGTTGCTTTGCTGGGCTCATGTTCTCCTGGACTCATGGCTCCTAGTCAGGAGACCCTTTTCCCAGTTGAGGTTGATGGACCAGTTGGCCCCCATTTGGATCAAGAGGCTCTGGTAGCTGAGGCTCGTGCCCTTATCACCTAGCTGTTTGACTGCTGTAATGCACTCGAATGGGACAGTCTTTGAAGGCAAATTGGAAACTCAGTTCATACAAGATGCAGCAATTAGGCTTTCACAGATGAAAAGCTCTACTGTAATATAATACGTTTTGAGGTGCTCCAGCATTGGTTTCTTAATCCATTTCAAAGGACTGGTTTGTAAAGCCTTTTATGGCTTGACTTCAGAGTCCCTTAGGAACAGTCTGCTCTACTGTTTAATGTTTGCTTCTAGAGGTAGGATGTTTAAGATCTTATCCCTGACATCAAGGGGAAATGGAGTAAGAGGCAATCTTTCTGTGTGTGATGGCTTAAAATTGTGAATGACCTTGCCCCTAGAGGTTCACCTGGTTCTTTCCTTATTGGCTTTTTGAAATGGTTTCAAGAAGATACTATTTGACCAGGATTTGGGATGATGATTTGATTTGGACTGAGTTTTTTGATTCTTTGAAATGCTTGTTCTTTTTTGCTGTTAGGCAGTGTTGGGTTGTTGTTTTTTTACATTGTAATTGGTGATGTTTGTAGCATCAGGTTACCATGTTGTTCCTCTCTTGCTGTAGTGTGCTATGTTAGGTTAACTGATGATGGGATTTCTTTTGGGATGGTTTTATGAAGTTTAAAAATTTCCCAGAGTCTCTGGAGCTGATTAGTATAGAGACAACAAATAAATACATACGTTTATTTATAAATTTATTTTTTATTTGCTATACATTCATAGACCAAATTGGTCTACCTTCGGTAATGACACTATATGGATTATTGACTTGTACCCTGAGGTCATCAACTGGGCACTTTTTCTGAGCTCACTACAAATACATTAGGCATCGATGATAAATTCTGATGTCTCTGTGATAGGGCTCATTACTGAACAAACATCTATTGGAATGAACCCATAACTGTTTAGGAAGGGACTCAAAACATGTTTATTTAACCAGGGTTTTTACGGTTACTCTTTTAGGTTTGTGTTTTACATCTGTCATATTTTATAGTATCTTTATAAGCAGTCCAGAGCTGTTAAGGAAATGGCTGGCATATGAAACAGTAACACAGAGAAATCATTGAGAAAATATTTCATTGTCCCATCCCAAAACCTGAAAGTCACCATTCTTCAGCAAAAGTATTTCAAAGGAAAACTTTAACCAGTTGAAATGTGCTGAACTAGACTTTATCATCAGTTTCTGTATCTTGGAGCTCAATAGAAACTCTTTAATTTAGTTAAATAAGCTTAAATAAACTACAAAATGTGTGTCATCATCAAGGATGTGAATTTTCATTGTCTATAAGCATCTTAGCCTTAAACAAAAAAGTTTTCTTTTGTATACTACCATTTGTGTGTGTGTGTATTTTTATGCCTCCCATATGAAGAAAATGCTTCCTACATCTGAGAAAACACACTCTGCTAAAAAATTATGCTACAATCAATCTGCTGGTCCTCCTTATGCCATAAGAGCTTTTGTTGTTTATTACAATCTTGAAACTGCTGATTACAGAAGAAACTAACAGTGCTTGCTTCTAATAGCTAAACATTTTTTTTCTGTGCAACCATACTGCATAGGGAATAGCTGCCAAAAATGCATCCGTGACCCAAATGATGTGTCATTTTCTGAGGTAGTCTAGGTCAGGAAACAGAACAAGAACTACTGGAGCTCCACTGTCTTGTTGTGGGGTATAATAACAGAATCTTGAAAGCCTGACAGAGTTTCTCTGCCCCCAGTGATTCTCTGGTATGAGAGAATCAAGGTGGGGTAATCTTGAGTTTCTCACCCATTCCTCATTTTCAGGACTGAGCTGGTGTTTACATAACCACTCTTGCAATCCTTCGAGGCTATCTCTATACTCATCTACACTGAAATATATTCTCATATATTTTCTTTCAAAATATTGATCTATTTAAAATTGTTCCATTTCCTTTAATTAAGTGCCTTTATTTGCATGACACAGTTTATATCTATTTATTTGAATACCATGATCAGAAATTAGTTGATTTCTGCAACATTTGCAAAAGTGGGAAATCTCTACTGTCTAGTCCCGTCTAACAGTGGTACAAATGGATTCTTGTAGTGAGTTGAAGTTACTTTCCCCTACAGAAAAGACTTGGAGATTGCATTGGGAGGCTAATGCAATTAATTGTTGCACTTTTGAATGGAATCCAAAATTTGACCTCATTGACCAACATCATAAAAGCTGGACTAGCAATTTATCTGTACAAGCTTTAGCTTAAAATACTAAATATTTTTAAAATAAGTATATCCTACCTTGTGAATATCTGGATCCTTGGTTTCAGGTCTAAATCTTCTAACATTGAAATGAATCTAAGATTCCCTTCCTGTAATAAAAAAAGAATCCTAAATTATTTCTGTTGGGAAGGAAAACTTTACTTTTCAAAAAAGTAGATAAATTGGATAGAGTTTTATTCATTTTTCTAAAACATTATGACTGGCAACAATATAAAATGCTTGTTCAATTATCAAGGGGTCATTGAGGGTTGAAAGCTGCAGTCCTATGCATGTTAACATGTGTATAAACTTCATTAAATATACTCAAGTTTGTGTGGAGATAAACATGGAGAATTGGTACATAAATGAAAGACAAATATTGAACACAATTGAAAATATATTGATGGAGTCTTATCAATCTTTATGATTAGAAAACCCATGGTAAAAAGAAATAGAAACCATGTCAGAATTTTTGGAATAAAATAATTTTTATGTAATATGCTTCTTGTTGTTGTTTAACAAAATAAAAAAGGGTATTAATCACAAACAGTTACATTAGAATAATGTTATGGTTGAGACATAAATTTGGAGAACTAATTCCATTGCTAATTGCTATTGGAGCTTTAAATTAGCCCCCAGGGGCAGTGGATTTCACGTCTCCTAATCCAGGTGGTGATACCAAGTTATGTAGATCTCAAATGAATCTGCCATTGGGCAGGTATGTATGCTATTGTAAGCCAATAGTTTGAGAATAACCTACTCTGGCACTGAGGACTCTAATGGAGATCAGTATATGCCTTTGCCCATGCAGGCCTTTTAGGAGTAGGCAGGGCTCCGTTAATTTCCCTGCTTTCATGGGTTTATGGCTCAACCTTGGCATTATTGTAACGTAGTTTTTTGTGTTTAATGTTTCTTAGACTTGGTTTTCCATTGCCAGCATGGAAGGAACCCTAATGCATGAGTTTCAGAGGAGAAAGTAGCAGTCTGAACCTGCTGTGTGGCTCGATCAGCAAGCGTGAGTATTAACGCTAGAGCTGTCAGGCCTTGTGAAAATTAATGAAGCCTGACGGTTACCCAGTGAAAGGTCAGAGGCAGAGCTTGCTCTTACGTAACATTTGTGTTTTGTTGTGTCTAACAACAGTTTGAACAAAGGAGAGCTTTTATGTGTGAGCCTTAGATTTATCACAGGACTCCATAGGTCTTGGCCTTCTCTTTGCCTTGTGTTGTAGCTTCATGTTTTCCTTGCATAAAACCAAAGTATTCAGCTGTTTGCTTTTTTGCCCACCTTGATTGATTTTTCCCATGCTTCTCAACTGTCCTTCCAGTCTCTGTCCAAATCAGTTACCACTTTTGCAAGGAGAGCAGTTAAACTAGTAGCAGTGATGAATATTTTGTTAATAAATTTTGAGGAATGCCTGATGTTAGGCCATGTGTGTGTGTGTGTGTGAGAGATGTTAAGGCCATCATGCTGTTGCATTGACTTTTTCAGTTTGAGATTATATGTGAAAGATGAGAATTACATTTGGTTAATTTAGAGAATATATTGATAATTTCACTGAGTCATTAAAATGCTTCAAAAGTGGTTCTTGCTTTGCCTTAGACTCCTTGGTTGTATTTATCAGGAAGACTGCTAAACTCAAGCATCTTGAAAAGAAAGAAGCCTGAACAAACCATAGGAGTTGGATTAAAGAGAATAAACATTCCATTTCTAGCAATCATTCTGAATTCTATCTACTGAGTGTGTTGGGGATAATACGGGAGGGAGCAGTTAAATTACAGAAAAGGAAGACCACTAATGAATGGGAAAGATGTTTAGTTCTTAATCCTTAGGCATGTCAAAACATCTGCTTGTGAAGGAATATCTTCCTGTTGCTTCCTTGCTGATCTGATCTTAACCAAGTTAGTTCACCTTTTTGCTCTTTTCTCACCTCCAAATAATCAGTCTTGCAAGGTTCTGGGAAATCTTCAGCCCAATATTTTCTGTTATGCATTTATCCACATTTGTGTAGAAGTTGACTTTTCTACACAAATAGAGGCAACCTGGAGTTTATTTGCAGAAAATTAGACAACATTATGAGTGAACTACTTTGGTGAGCAATAATCCATGACTAAGCATATCATCCAACCAGAGTCTTGTATTTAGTTCAGATTGAACTAGTCAGAATATCCTGTCCTCTCTCTTTATATAAAATTCTTAATAGAACTTTATTCAAGATACTGTCAAGTTAAAAATACAGCCCAGCCCCTGCCAATATGCAGTCTAAAAAGTAACTCTTTTCCTTTCTTCATCATGGAAGACAACAAAGTGGTTTGTATATCTCCAGTTATAGGCTCCATTCTTTAGAATACTTTGGGTTACCATTTGATTGTGTGCATGTGCTCTAATGATCATTTTACTTTTAGCCTTTTTCTGACTTGTACTATTGCAGCTGGCTGGGATCATTCTTGAATTGTGGTACATGTTAAAATGACCCAAATTGAAAATAAATTTATTATGTCTCCTTCCTAAAATCAGATGCTAGTCCATAGGTTTTCTTTTTAATTTGCTTTTACAAGAATTTTCTAAGAGAAAAGAAAAAATTGTAATAGGAACAGGTAGGAATACATGTATAAAATAATACACCCAGACACGCACACACACACACACACACAGACACACACACGGACATATATACCAATACAAGCAACAGAATACAGGTAAGATAACCAAATCTTGAATAATCAAAAAATCTAAAACATCAAGTGGCTATATATATTCTAAATATAATTAACAGCCAAGAGTATTCTAAGATATTTCATACCCAATTTCTAGTCAAAGCATATCTCTGTTGAACTGTAAGAATATTTGGTTAACACAATTAAAATCAAAAAGAGGGAAAAAAGCTTTAAATAATAAACAGCATATTGAAAGAATAATGTCAATAATATATAAACTATATGTAAGATTAAAATATAAACTCTATAACCCAAATTTGGAATGTGGCACAATTCCATGTATAGAAATGGTTTCCAAATAAGATTGAATTGTACATCAGATTTACTTTTCAAATCCAAAGTTATTCTAAACATCAAAAGCTATTCCCACAATTTAGTAAATCATTCTTCCATAGAGGGGATCAAAGATCTTTTCCAATAAAAAGTATATAAAATCCTTATAGCTGTAATGATATACAATGCCATTTAAGTATATATTGAAGAAATATATAGTTTAATGAAGTTAAACTCGGGATAAAATGGAATTATGACTTTCAAGATTACTTCCATTCTGTGATGAATCGTTTTCCAATGTTGTTGAGCTTTACAGCGTTGCCATCACGTATGGAAGAAGGATAGAATCTGTTCAATGCATTTCCAGCATTTTGTAGAGAAGGAGGTACTCAGTTTACCAGTCTTGACTGGAATAGTGTACCAGCAGTAAAAGGTATCAACTCTTTTTAAGATTTTCAAATCCCAAAATTTTGGGCCAGCCTGAAGTCACCTTCCCTAAAACTATTGTACTTGTGAGAGTGATCCAAGTTGGTGTGGATGCCAAGCTTCAGAACCCTGAGATGTATAGCTTTAAGTTTATGACTAATACAATTTAAGAAAATGAATGCAGTGTTCTTTATGATCTTATAAATGGCCATATGAGAGTGTAGTCATCATAAGGATAGGCTAGCTTTTCAAAATAACCAAATGAGAACAATTCATTAGTTTCATACATTTATAGCAATAGCCTGAACTTAAGTGGCTACCTTGACATACATACATACATACAATTACAGAGTGAAGTTTATTCTACTCTAAGCTGATATTGATTTAAAAAAAACCCTCCCAAAGTTATTATTAAAAAAGGTGAAGAATCCTAAGGGCTGACAAAAATGCATACCTGTGCAGTTCACCTGTATCTTTTTGGCTCACTAATGTTGAACAGGATTATGGGCTATTTTAAATATGTTCAAGAATGGGTCAGTGGTTCCTCCTCTTGGTCCATTTGGATGACTAACCAAATTTAAGGGGTTGTATGAGATGATCCAATGTATTAGAAAGTGGTCCATTTTATTTCCTTTTTTAATGTTGAAATTGTAGTCTGGAGAAGGCAGTAGCAGTGAATTGTTGACAGATATTGCAAGCAAGGCAAACATGAGAGAAGGGGTTTCCCAAAACTTCTGAAAACTTTCCCTTTTCCTCTGAAAATGTTGATAATAAAAAAATTGTGATAGCAAATATTAAGAAGATTGTAGAGAGTGCATAATTAAGAAAGAGAAAAAAAAATCAGAAAGTGTAAGGCAAGAGTTAACACAACAGATCACACTTTTACCATACTAATTAATCTGGCATAATGTATTGTTCTCTATTGCCACAATGGATTGTATGCCATCAGGTTGGTCTCTTCTCTTAGCAACTACAAAGATGGGCTGCCTTTGGGAGGATCTGTCCCCAACCTGGATCTTCAGGCCTTCCAAAAGTATACTTGTTGCTGCTATAATCAAGTCCATCCACCTTGCTGCTGATTGTCCTCTTCTTCTTTTCTTCCACCTTTCCTGGCATTACAGACTTCTCAAGAAAGCTGAGCTTGTACATAATGTGTCAGAGTGGGATAATTTGAGCCAATCTACTGCCATATTCACAATATTTTGTGGATAAATTTGCAAAGTAATGGAAAGTGCTCAGTTTCCTATTAAACTTCAGTTGAACCTTTCTCAATCTGATGTCCCCAAAATGTGGTAGACTTCACCCTTTGGTCATTTGGGGAATTGAAAAGCCCAATACATCTGGAGGGCACCAGATTGGAAAGGTGAGTCTGAACCATTAATTATTACAGCAAGAACTGAGTGCCATATATGGCCTTCAAATGGAATGCTGGAGGCCATTGTTCCAAAGATGGTGGAGCCAGAGCAAAGAACATTGAGCACAGCCATGACAAAAACTACATTTGATTTGTTTTAGTTTAAATTTAAAGCTTAATTTAATCAATTATATATAGTTAACACAATTATACCCTATATATTTATGAATTTTCTTGTTCTGCCAGAGTAATACTAACAAATTAGCAGTGAGTTTCGGAAGGACTCTTGGAGGGTGCTTGTGACTCTGTAGTCGAAGTTGCATACTTCTGGATAAAAAATGTTCAGCCACATGAACTATTCCATAAACTTAATATGCCTTACTTTTCACATGATTTTCCTGAACAAAATCTGTCCGATGTGAGTTTAAATGTGAAAGCTATGTTTGCTCTGGGACAACAGTTTCTTAAATAATTAAATGCTTTGTTTCTGTATTGTTTCAGGAAACTTGCCATATGAGTACAAAATAGTGATTGCTGGGAATCATGAACTAACGTTTGATAAGGAATTCATGGCAGACCTTGTTAAACAGGATTACTACCGCTTTCCCTCTGTATCCAAATTGAAACCAGAGGACTTTGACAATGTTCAGTCACTTCTGACAAACAGTATTTACTTGCAAGATTCTGAGGTGACAGTCAAAGGATTCCGAATATATGGTGCTCCTTGGTAAGTCTAAAATTCAGCTTCGTGTGAATTCATATGTAATTAGTTCAGCTGTCTGTGAAGTTTTTATCTTAATATACTATGTGATTTCTCCTGAAAAGAGAGACATGTAATAGATACTCCATAACTCAAAATCTTCTATGTTCGTTAGAAACCTAATGCTATGAGGAAATTCTGGAAAATCAGTTATTTTGGATAATAGACTTCAAATCCAAAAGTCCTGGTTTTATTTATCTAAGGGGCTGATACTCCAAAAATTGTAACAGATTTTGTGTGTGTTTTTAAATGATGTGAAGTAGCTTAATCACAGCATGCTAAGCTGGGATACCTATTTTAAAAGAAATAAATTTACAGTGCATGCTACAATAAAAAAAAAAAAAAAAACCTGTAACTTTCTTAGGCCAGAGTGTAGAGATTGAGTAAATGGGTAAAACTGCCCCAAACATGCCCAGTTAAGATTGATGCTTATTCCCTTTGCTTCTCTGTGTCGGATTTCATACAAAAGCTAAACTGCGCTCATCTGATTACTATGATCTGTTCATTTCAAGAAAAAGTATTCTTTGAAAGACACTGTTAATGATGGTTATTATAAGCCTGCTTGTTCCCACAGCTCTTTTGTTAGTAATCTGCTAATTAGATACTCCACATAGTTAAGATCTCTGATGTCCCTACCTATGTCTCTGCTGATCATGGCAGGGTTCCTCTTCATTTAACTCCTTGTGCTCTTAATAGCAAACGCTTGGGTTAAATGTTTACTACAAGGAAATATGACAGTAAGCTAATTTTCCCAAGGTATTTGAAAGCTGCAATTACATTTTCCTTCTTTGTGCTTGTATTTTATTGTTGTGTAATTGAAGAAAGAAATGTCTACTTTTTCATACTTCAGGTCTATTTGAAAACATTAGAAATATGCTGTACATATGCATATATGTATGTGTGTATAGACACATACATGCACACATATATACACACACGCATAATCAGAGACCAGGAATATAGACAAAGACACACACAGAGAGAGAGAGAGAGAGAGATGTTATCTTTACATAATACTTGTTTAATGTTCTTGTTCCAAAACATATCTGCAAGATTTGGAGTTTAGATTATGTCTGCATGTCTTGCAAATAACCTAAATGTAATGGGTCCATTAAAATATGTTTTTCCCATTCACATCCATACTAGCTAAAAAGGTACGAATCTTACTTTAACCTCCCCCCCCCAAAAAAAATGGCAAGAGAAGAATTTACCTTACCTCAGGGATGAGCAATCTGGTGTCGTCCAGTTGTTTTGGACTTTGAACTTCAGCTCCCATCAACTGCATGGCCAATTTTAAAGGAAGATGGGAGTTAATATTCCCAAAGTTTGAGAAGTTGCTCTATCTCCATTTCTCCTTTCATACATGTTCCCAGAATGGGATGGGTTCAACAGAGGGAAGATTCACTTCTGTCTTATGCATTTCTTTTACTGTTAAAGATTAAATCCAATCTTAACTGTTAATAAATCAAGTCAATACTTTAAGAAATGTCCCTTCCCTCTATTGTTTATTTTTCCTCCTAGTCAGCAGAAGCAATTTAAACTTTTCATGTAAATGAGTGAATTGTATGGTGCGGAATTACGTCATATAAAAAAATAATCCCCAAAGTGGTGAAAATTATGCTGGTGATAACCTCAGCCTGCAGTGTGTATGTGTTGTTGTTGTTTAGTCGTTAAGTCGTGTCCGACTCTTCGTGACCCCATGAACCATATTGCGCCAGGCCTTCCTGTCCTTCACT